TATTGTAAAATAAACGAGGTTTTCAAAATGTTTAAGAAGCTTCATTTAAAATGAAATTAAAATGTTGATCTTACGCCGCCGGCCCGCTCAGCCCGCTGCTGGTCTGGGGTTCTGTTCACCTAGGCCGGCAGCGGGCTGAGTGAGGCCTGCGGCTGGCAAGGGTCCGGCAGCCAGAACCCCAGACCAGCAGCGGGCTGTGCGGGGCCGGCAGCCAGAACCCCAGACCAGCGGTGGGCTGTGCGGGACTGGCGGCCGGGACCCCAGACCAGCAGTGGACTGAGCGGCTCAGCTCACTGCCACTCAGAGGTTCCATCCGCCGGCTCCTGCCAGCTGGGATCCCAGCTGCCGGATCCGCTCAGCCCGCTGCCAGTCTGGGGTCCCGGCCCTCCCCACATACAGTGGGTACCTACCTTCTTCCTTGTTCTGGCCATTCTCTTCCTCTCTCTGCACTGAGCTGAGGGTGGGAGTTAACTAAGCACAGGGCTGGGGGTGAAGGGTCGGGCCAGCAGCTAAAATGAGGGAGGGGGCTCAGGGTTGGGGCAGGAGGTTTGGGTGTGGGGCACTTACCTGGGCAGCTCCCATTTGATGCGAGGGGTGCAGATGGGAATGTGGGGGGGGGTGCAGGAGCTCCCGTTTGGTGCTCCAGGTGGGGGTGGGGATGTGGGGGGGTGCAGGTGTCAGTGCAGGGGGGGCTGGGTATGTGTGGGGGTGCCAGAGTCAGGGCTAGGGTTGTGGGGGGTGGGATGAAGGAGTCAAGCAGAGGGCTGGGTGTGTATGAGGGAGGTACAGGGCTCAGGGCAGAGGGCAGGGTGTGTGTGTGAGGGGGTCAGGGCTCAGAGGAGAGGGCTGGGTGACTGCCCCCCTAAGAACTCCCAACCCCCCTGCTCCTTGTCCCCTGACTACCCCGTCCTGGGACCCCTGTCCCCAACTGCCCCCCAGGACTCCACCCCCTATCTAAGCCTCCCTGTTCCTTGTCCCCTGACTGGACCCTACCTCCTACCTGTCCCCTAACTGCCCCGACCCTTATCCACACCCCCGCCACCAGCCATACCCCCGGGACTCCCATGCCTATCCAACCACTCCTCGCCTCCTGACAGGACCCCCAGAACTCCCGACTCATACAACCCCCCCCAGCTCCTTGTCCCCTGACCACCCCCTCCAGAGACCCCCCCACCCTAACTGCCCCCCCAGGACCCTCCTTGCTCCCTGTCCCCTGACTGCCCTGACCCCTATCCACCCCCAGCCCCCTGACAGACCCTGGGACTCCCATGCCCCATCCAACCCCCCTTGCTCCCTGACTGCCCCCTCCAGAGACCCCCGCCCCTAACCACCCCCCCCCAGGATTGCACCCCCTATCCAACCCACCCTGCTCCCTGTCCCCTGACTGCCCCCACCCCTTATCCAACCCCCCCAGCCCTGGACCCCTTACCATGAGGCTCCTAGCAGCATGTTTTGCTCCGCGCAGAGCCAGACATGCTGCCCCGCAGGAGCAAGCAGCCCCACCCCTCAGAATGCTGCACGCATGGCAGCATGGCTCCGGATGAGCAGGGAGCATGTCTGCCTCCCCACGGAGCCAACACGGCCCCGTGGAAGCGCGCAGCCCCGGCCCCCAGAGTGCTGCGCGCGTGGTGGCATGGCTCCAGAGGAGGGGGGAAGGCAGGAGAGGGGCCGGTGACTTGCTGCGCTCAGCCGGGCGCTCCGGCCCGGGAGTGCGGACCCAGCGGCTTGCCGCACCGGGAGAGTGGGACCATTTGCCCACCCCTGCATTAGGGTGTGCCTGGGCACACCTGGCACATCCCGTGCGCACGCCTATGTTATTTTAAAAAGTGAATGTGGTGCTGGTGAAAGGTGCAGGGTTGGGAGTGAATCCACAGATCAAGGGCAACACAGGCATAGTCCGTGCATGCAGGCCCTACACGGCCCTGACAACATGCTTTTGACCTGACTGGGGGGGTGAAAGAACGGCTTGGATTTTGTATCTGCTTAGTCTATGCCTTCCCTGCTGAATCTGCCAAAGACTATGGGGCAGGTATGTGATGTGGAGCTCTATCAACTGGGAACAGGACTCAGAGCACCAGTTAATTTCACATGGACAACCTAATATTAATATTAGCACTTTTCTAGCGATTTAGATGCTCAAAGCACTGTATAAGCATTATCATGAATCCTTGCAGCAACCCTCTGAGATGTTATGACCTCATTTTTCAGACTGGAAAACAGATGCAAAGAAAACTTGCCCAAGGCCACATGGTTAGTGTGGTAGAGATTTCAGAACCCCCTGAGCTCACTTCTCCAGACCATGCTCTCCATGTACCAACTTCTGATCTTAGAATATCAGGGTTGGAAGGGACCTCAGGAGATCATCTAGTCCAACCCCCTGCTCAAAG